ATAAAGATTGGGTGGATTATCAACTAGGAAATAAAATAAAATGCATAAAATATAAATTTACCTAAAACATGAAATAAACCTCAATGAAGAAGCTAGGGAATCGGGGATATCCGTTATGTCTCAAAATACGATTATCGAGCAATGATCATTCGGTTAAGAGAATTTGATAAACTACTCGTTCAGAGATTGTCCTCAATAACTCTTCGTAACAAGAGGATTAATATGAACGGCAAATCAATAAGTCCTTTTAAACACATTGGCAATACCATTACGAACAAGCCAATTTCATGTGGCCTAGGTCTATCGACTCCTCCTCTTTCGATTCCAAAAGTCGATTAAATAGCTTAATGGTTTTTAATCAATCAAGAAATATATTCCATGAAATCATTCAAGAGCAAATACAACCCAATCGATGAACAACTGTAAATTGAAGTGTCACTACCTCAATGATTTTCAAAATTCCAAAACAATTTCACAAAACCCTAGTCAAGATCAACCCACATGAATTGAATAATCAACAAGCACAATAATCATAATTGAGATCAAAACATTACTCCCCTATCCCTAGCATGAAGATTAAGCTACTCATATTCAAGATTAAACAATCAACCATACAAACTCAAGCTTCCATAATCAAAGATCAATTGAAAGAGAAACTTACAGTTTAGATGAAATTGAAGGTTTAATCCAAGCACAAGATAAAAATCTCCAAGTGATGATTAAATCCAACATTAATATAGTGTTCTTAGGGTAAGAGAAGGGGGAAAAACGAGTTTGGGGGATTCCTTTCGGTCTGGGATCGAGTCCCAATGCCCAGTACTCCAAAAAACGAACAAAACCTAGCTTTTAAACATCTGGTCGCGACCTCCGCGGCCGCGGGAAGCTCCGCGGCCGCGACATTTTTGCGCTGAAGTTTGGGAACTGGCAGATTTTTGTTCGCCGCGGCCGCGGTGAAGAAAGGGTCGCGGCCGCGGCGATAAAATCTGCACTGCATGACTTTACAGTTTTTGCTCGTTCGGGTTCGTTTTAACTCAAAATTGAGTTCCGTTTTTTTCTACGCGTCGCTAACGAACCCCTCTTTCTAATTGTGTCAGCTTCCCCAAAAAAATCCCAGAAACCTGTTCTCCCGAAGCTCCCGACCTACACACCAAAAACGAAAACACAAACGGAAGACTACCGGAAAAAACATAAGAATTACCGGGGCACTCAAGACAACACAAAACACACGATAAATGACAAAATGAACCTAAAACCAACTAAATGACTCAAAATGGGGGAAAAAGAATGAAAAAATAACAACGAAAAATGCAACAAAAATGGGACAAACAACTCCCCCACACTTAAACCTTTGTTCGTCCCGAACAAAAAGAACAGAAAACAAGACACGAGCATTGATACGGTTTCAAATAAGAAGAGTCTCAAAATGCCCAATTCAATTGAGTCGAATTCCAATGAACGTACAATCATGTGCCTCAAATATCAACTTGACCTCGAAATGACAAACTCTCAAAACATAGATCATCATATATGCCTCACTCATTTCTTTCATGAATATATGATAGGTACACTCAAAATTGGTCAATATTCAAGTTTCAACATATGCTTGCCAACAGTCTAATTTACTCGAAAACAATCAAAGCTCTAATTATGCGAATCAAGAGGACTTCACGGGTTGTAATGTGGGCTAAGGAAAAGGTACGGATATATATGTGGATAATAAGCTCAAATAGTCAATCAAAGTTTTTCGAGTAATAGACTACTCGAATGTCCGCTATTCACCCAAATCAACAAGACAAAACATATACTTCCCCCAACAACTTCCACAAACAACATCTAATTGCTCTATCATCGAATTGCAAAATAACTTGACCAATTTTTTTATTTTTTTATTCTTTTTTTTGTGCAGGTCATTTGTATGTGAAAAGCGACGTCTACGGTTTTGGAGTGGTGCTTTTAGAGATAATAACAGGCCTGCGAGTGCTGGACCTCAGTCGGCCCAGTGGGCAGACCAATTTGGTGGATTGGGCCAAGCCTTTCCTGCCTAACAAAAAGAAGCTGAGGAAACTAATGGACCCCCGGCTTCAGGGTCAGTATCCATCAAAGGCCGCGTTCGGCATAGCAGAGCTCATATTAAAATGCCTCGAGCCCGACCAGAAACTCTGGCCCGATATGGAGGAAATTTTGTGTGAATTGGAGAAGATGAACGAAATTCACATGAAGCCCAAGGAGGTTAGGGCCCAAGGGAAACGACACCAACAAAATGGGGACCTCTACCCCCGGTACCACGGTCGGGCCCACCACACGTACGAAGGAAGAAGTGGTGGTCAGGCCCATGGGGCCGGCCCTCGGGATCACAATAATGCGAAGGTGGTCCGGACTTATTGATGGGTTTTTGAGTTGGGCCTCCGGTCGACTTGGAATTCGGTTTTGTAATACCATGAGTCCTTTCTCTTTGTGGTAGGCTCAATGTGGAGTTGTTAGTTGATCTTTGTCGTGAAGTATCGCACCTACCACTTTTTAAATTTATTATTATTATTATTATTATTATTATTATTATTATTATTATTATTATTATTATTATTATTATTATTATTATTATTATTATTTGTATGCTTTTGTATATTTTTTATAACGAACAACAAAAAAAGAACAAAAATGAAGGCCATTTTTGCTTTATGCAGTTGTTTTGGAGGGGAACAACAAAAAGGCAACTATAAAAATGTGACAACTAAAAGAACCAAGCGACCACTAAAAGAACCAAGCGACGGATGGTTTTGGGCTGGACCACGATCTTGGGCTGTTGCGACAAACTGCCCAAAATAATGGACCAGTGCAGTGGCTCATTTACATACATACGTCAGACGTTGCTAAATATTTGTAACCATACTAACTACAAAACTTATTTACAAACATACCTAATTGACCATAAAAAATTATGTTAATACATAATTGTGTAACACACAGAGAGAAAAGATTTTTCACAACTCTTTGGTGATCCCTTGACTTACGGGATTCTTCCATAAATAAACAAAATTTAGTTGAAGATAGATTCAAAAGCAGTTTTTCAAAATTTGAATTAAAAAAGAGTGAACTATATTATTGAAGAATAAAAAAACCAAATAATATATTTCAGATCGAAATCAATCCGCTTTCAAAGTATATTATTTGTTTTATATATTGTAAATATACAAATTTGTTTTATATACTAGAAATATACACTATAATATAAAATCAATCTACTTTCAAAGTATATTATTTTTTTTATATACTGTAAATATACACGATTTATTTTATATACTAGAAATATACGCGATAATATCAAAATCAATCCACTTTCAAAGTATATTAATTATTTTATATATTGTAAATATACCGATTTTTTTTATATACTAGAAATATACACGATAATATCTTAAAGTATATAATTTGTTTTATATAGTGGAAATATACGATAATATCTTAAAGTATATAATTTGTTTTATATACTGTAAAAATAACAATATATAACCAATAAATATACCATTTGAAATTCCCTGCTTTCTTTGGAAAATGTTTTAAAGACAACATAAGTATACAAATTGTACAAATTGTTACATATTGACTAATGCGTGCTAAAGATATATTGCACAAAAATAATACATAAACCAAAACTAAACATTTAAGGATCTGCTAATTTGAAGCACAATGCAGAACAAGATATAAGCTAGCACAAAAAAAAAGGTTAAAATTAGAAACCCCAAACCTATTCTTAACCAAATAACGACCTTCAATTCATGAAAAATCAAAAAAAAAAAAAAAATCGATACTAAACTGTTTCAAAATTGCCTCATGCTTGAGCTGTATATATTGCATAAATAATAACATTACATAAACTAATGCTAAACATTTTGAGGTCAGATAATTTGAGACACAATACAAACAAGAAATAAGCTAGTGAAAAAAAGGGGATAAAATTAGAGATACGAAACCTAATATGTAACAATACAACAAGCTTCAATGGATGAAAAGAAAAGAAAAAGAAAAACAATACTAATCTTGTTGAAAATTGCTTGCTCTGTATATTTTACGTAAATAATAACAATATATAAATTCTTATCAACAAACTCCTCGTCAAGTAGCATCTCGTCCATGCCG